CTCTCTCCCCTATTCATCTTTTGATCCCCTTCACATGTGAGAAGGATGTAGCTCCTGACTTCCTATTGTCTTTTGTTTTGCTCTTTATTTGTAATTTGAGTCTTGCATATAAGAGAAACCATGCACAATTTAAGTTTGTGTGTTTGGTTGACTTCATTTAGCATTATAGTCTAAAGATGCATCCATTTTCTTACAGATGACTCCGGTTTATCTTTCTTTACGACAGAATAGGGCTCCATTTTGTGTAAATACTATTTTCTATTGTAACTAACACATTTGTTGGAAGTATTGTTTGGTGTTTTCAGTGTTTAGTAATTTCTTGAGAAACAAATTAACATTTTAAAGTATCCTTTAAGAATACTTCATTAGCAGTAAAACATGCAGACTTTAAGGAGGCTTTCTGATACTAACCCAGTTATTCATTGAAGTATTTATATCAAAATATGAGTACAACCTGTATGAATGTGACCTTGATAAATAGCTTATTTGAAAGAAGTTTGGTAGCTGTATCTTAAAAATGAATTATAAAAACTACTGAAATATACTTGCTTCGAGTAGTGAGGAGGTAGCGATGTTGGCTTATGTGAGTGACAAATAGTGAGGAAACTCTGAAGAAATATTTTGTCCCTTTGAATAACTCTCCTTCAGTAGAATTCTTCTTGAATATGATGGGCCATCCAGACAGGAAAGCTCAGCTTTGACTTCCTCCCAGAATGCTGGACTGTCTGACTTTTGAAGGCTTATTTTCATAAACTGAACTTACTAATGACCAATTATTGAATTTACCTTACAGTTAGATCATGGAGAATGTATTACTTTCAATGAACTATGATAAAAATTTTTAGGATCCTATGGCTGACACCTAGATCTCAAAATTGTTCTTCTGTTTAATTTGAAATGTTTTGAAATATTTATAGATTTTAAAATTTCAATTATTTTCTACAAAACCTGTAAATCATTTCATAAAATCAACTTGCCAGAAAAAAGGTTGAAATTTATAGCAATAATTTGGTTCTAAATTTGTATCTTAAAATTTAAAAAAGCTTACTCTAATCTTTCACTCTTTGTAAGCATGCCAACATTCTTTTGGTCAAGTAATAAATTTTTTATACTGGATATCTAGCAAGATGACAATCTGGTTGCTTATATGAAATACTTAAATGTACACAATTGCAATTTCAAAGCCTTATTGCTTCATTTATCACAGGAAGTGCCAGAGTTCTGTAATCTTTTGTAAGAAAAGCTACTCTGCTTATATGAATTCTCATAGGAATGACCACAAATATTATGCCAATTTAATCCTAATTTTTGAAGTTAGGGTTCTAAATGACATTTAATGTGATGATTTATTTTCTATCTTTAAGTTTTATAGGGTACAAAACAAGATCTCATCCCTTCATGTTGCTTTTTATTTTTAAAGACTGATGATAAAAATCTATGCTTAAGAACTGTCAAATGATTTACGATATTTCATTTATTTTTCAAAGGATTGGGGTGTCACCAGTAAGCCTATTAGAATTGTAGGTTTAAAGATTCTTGATTTTAAAAAAGACCAGCTGCATAAATAAGTGTGTTAGCTTTGTAATTTAATTCTATGCAACTTTTTTTAATACTTCAAAGTACCAAAGGAGGCAATTTGTTTAGGTCATAAATATTTATTTATATTATTATGACCTCAAACTTTGTGGTACATTTCAAGATCTACTTTTTAAAGTATTAGCAGTTCTTTATTATGTTCATTACAACGTCCAGACCTTTCTCCTTTTTTCCCCTTAAATCTCTATTTTGTGAGCTCTCTATTTTTACCAACAAAGGTGGAATGTGCAAAAATTAGAGGAAGACCTTTGTAAAAAATTAGAATTCTGTACCATAGGTAACCTAGTAATTACCCTTGAGGAAGTGTTAAAAGTACTTTAAAGATATTTATTATTATTGTTTTGTTATTTATTTATTGTGGTCCTAAGGATTGAATCCAGAACCTTACATATGCTAGGTGAGCGCTCTTCTACCAAACTACATTGTTAGCCTTAAAGCTATTTTTTTATTTAAAAGAGAGAAAAGGAAACCAAGATAAAAACAGTGATAGTTTCAAAATAGGATAATAAGAAATTAACAATGGTTATTATAATTGTATTGTTGTCTTCAAAGTAGTTGCTCAGATTACAAGATATAAACATGCAAAATTAATTAATGAATATAAGTACCAACTGATATTTTCAATGAACTAAAGGAAATTAGTAGTATAATCATGTTAGGTATCTTGTTTATTTATTTATTTTCCCTTTTATTTCTCCTTTTCCCGATCCCAATTGTTCTTTTCCTGGTGAGCAGTTTCTTTCCCTTTCTCAATATCTGTTTTACATTTTGTATCTTATTTACTCTTTTAGTTGCTTACACTAGGGAGACAAGACAGTGTTTACACTTGCAAGTTTCATTTATTTCACTTATGAATATGGTCTCTAGTTGCATTCATTTACCTACAAAATCCTCAAGTTTATTCTTCTTTATAACTGAGTAGTACTCCATTGAATAAAACTACCACATCTTTTTTATCCATTCCACTGTTGATGGGCATTTGGGTTGTTTCCAAGATTTAGCTATTAGAAATTATGCTGCTATAAATGTAGGCACACATATATCACTGTGGTATGATGTTTTTAATTCTTCTGGAAAATACTCTGAAGGGAATTAACAGACTCAAATGGTACCTCTAATCCTAGTTTTAAAGCTGTTTTTTTAATTACACATTTTAAGTTTGAAATAATTGTAAATTCACTTGCATTTATAAGAAGTATCATAACATTCCATGTAACCTATACCATTTCTCCCTCAGTAGCAACACTCGGAATTTTAACAGTCATATAATCCAGATCTTATTTAGATTTGTGTAACTTTTCTTGTGCTCATTTTGTGTGTATGTGTATATTTTTATGCAGTTTTATCATGTGTAGTTTCTTGTATCCACTCCAGTCAAGATGAACATTTCCATCATAAGGATTCCTTTTATTGCCACATTCATCTACCCTCTTACCTGCCTACCCATCCTTAATGACTGACAACTACAAATTTCTGTTCTCATACTTTTTATCTCTATAATGTGTTAATGGATCCTTGGTGGATGTATCATTTGGAGATTGACTTTTTCATTCAGTGTAATTCCCTTGATATTCATTCAAGTTGTGTGTGCTGGTATTTTATTCCTGAAGAGTATTCCATCTAAATATATCCTGAGATTTAGTTTAGATATCCAGAATATGAGGAGATGACATCCAAAGTCAGGTTAAAAAGTGGTAGACATTTTTGAATTGACCTATGAATTAAAGTTATAGATAGACTTGTGTTATGGTTTGATAACTAGTGGTCAACTTAATGCCAGCTGGATTACATCAACATGCATTGAGAGAAGATGCTCCACCTGAGGAGGGCTGCTAGGATAAATAGGTGGAGAAGAGAGGTGTTGAGAGAGGGATTGAGGCGTTATGGAGGCATTGTTGGTTCTCCTACGAGTTGCTGTCTGAGCTGTTGGTTCTCCTGGAGAAGCTTTGGTCTTCACATCAATCATTGCTTCCTAGCTCCGGAGGGGAAGACATGTGCTGCCTGGTCTCCAGGGTGAACTCGTCACGCTGCTTCCTGGCACGTACCCGACTGTGCTTGTTGTCGGAGGAGCTCGGGGCCTCTGTGTCGCTGAGGACAGCTGTGGTGCCTTTCAGGACAGCCCCGCTCTTTGTTGTGAGTGTGACTTCTCAGCTCCAGTGTAGAACCCTCATCCCACTAGCACAGCTCCTTCATCCTGCTGGCATAGACTTTCTGGCTTCCACCGCTGACCCTTGGGTCTTCCCGGCACGAATCTGTAAAAGAGACTGGCGTGAGTCCTTCTTGTGGGCTCTGGACTTCCAGTTGGACTCGTGGAGGTGTTGTTCTGAGCTCTGGGTTTTTATCTGGACTCATGTAGGACTTGCCATGGGGTTTAGACTCTTGACTAAATAATCTATGTCGTTGGTGTTGCGGATAGATTTCCTGCATTCTCCTGTGTTAACTTCCGGTGACCATTATAAAAATATTATAAACTCCATGTCCTGATCTGAATTGTTCTCGTGTACAACCCCTGACTACAACAACTTGTCATTTTTTCATTTAGATTGAATTTGTCTGTATTTTAGTACATTGTGACCAGATGAATCATTAGCTATATGCTGAAAATGTATTTTAAATAGGGAGGAAAAGATTATTCTGTTTCTTAACTCATTTTAATAAAAATTGCAAGGTTGGAGAACAAGGTAGTACTTTTGTAGAGATCCCAGAAGATTTGCTATTTATTTTTTTCTTTATATATCCTGAAATTATTTAATTAGCGCTCTTCATACAGCTTGGTGTCACGCAAATAATTCTCCTTACTCTTTGCTTCTGTTTGCTTTTTCAACTAAATGGTTAAATGTCTTATTTAAATTCTGGCTGATTGAAACACGTCTCTTCAAACTACACCTTCCATTTTCTCCTACCTGAAGGAAAGGCAGGGAATAATGAACACCAGTAATAAAAGTGTTGGCCTCATCTAGGAGGCCAGAGAAGGAAAGCGTCCTATGGAGGGTACCTTTAAGTAGAATCTGAAGGGTGAATAGGAGCCAACTACGAGAAGGGAAGGAGGAAAGAGCATTCTAAACAGGTAACTGGGCCTGTGCAAAGACCTGGGGTAGGGAGGAACAAGGCACATTTTTAGGGATGGTACAGAATCTCAAAGTCAGCTGGGAAGAGGAGGAGGTAGAATTTGAATCCAAGGACTATGCCTGCAGACCCATGCTTTTTGTCACTCTCTGTGCTGTGGTGACTGGCAGAGAGGGAAGGGCCAGAGGCCGGCACACCGGGAGCTCAGAGGAGACATAGACTGGAGTTTAAAAGCACCAAGAACTTGTTTTTAATCTGTGTGGACACAATAAAGCTGGAGATACAGATGTACTGTCCCTGGGAGAGAATATAAAGTAAAACATGATACTTGCCTTCATGTGCTCCAGCGTTCCGTGGCCAAAGGTAGCGAGGATGGCAGAAAGAAAAATCAGGAGACTTGATTCCTGAGAGCTGAGAGAAGGAGAATGTCCTTCTCTAAGATAAGCAGTTGTCTTGTTGCTGTGATGTCAGGGAAGATGAGGACTGAAAAGCATCTGTGTAAGACTCTGGAAGAGACAATCTTGTATGAGTAGGGGGCCTCAGTTAACAGGGAGAGTGACCAAGAGATTAAAAAGTGCAGGGCAAACTACTGAACAGTTTCATAGAGAAGTTTATTTGAAACTGGGAATATCTAGATAGGCCTGTGGGCTACAGCTGGAGAGAGTTATGTTACTGCTGCTGCTGTCTTTTCCATGGCAGAGACTTGGGTTTATGTAAAAGCAGTGCAAAGAAATCTGCTAAAAGAGGTGAATATGTGAGTAAGAGAAAGAATAGTGCCTTCATGTAGTTGGGAAAACAGGAAAGAATATATCCCAGGCTCAGGGAGGGGTGTGGCCTTGGGAAAGAGGCAGGCATCCACTTTACTGTGTCAGTAGCATGCAGGACTGTCAGAGTCCCTTAGGTAGGCTGTATGTGATATTAGGAAGGCGAGTGATTTTCCCTGTGATCATGTCATTTGTCTCCAGATGCAGGTGACATGGTCTAAAGAGAGCAGTAAAGAGGAGTATAATGTAGGAGATTTTCAGAGTTCAAGGAAGAAAGATTAGTGTTGGTCATGTAGGAAGTGGATTCTTAGGTTTCCAGAAATAATCAGGGCAGTGGGTTTCTTAATGAGCCACAAACCCCCTTTTCCAAGCATATGCAGGGCTCCAGGAGGGTGGATTTATAGGATACAGAGAGAGATGTGGGCTGCTCTGGATGCAGCTCTTCAGTGATATGTCTGTTTCTCCTGAGATCAGGATTAAAACACAAAGGCACAAAGAAACTGTTGCATTGTAGGAAAATTTAACTGTGTTCTTAAAATCAAATATTTGCATTGCTTTAATTGCTTTAAAGTTTGTTACTAAATTTTCTAGTACTTCACATGTTATCTTGCACATTACTTATTGTAGAAGATTTATTTTCTTCACTAGCAAGATAGCTCAATTAGGCTTTTCAGGCCAGGCCAGTGTATAAACATGCAAAATGCTTAGTGAATGCCCTACAAAGAGCCAGATACTGCAGCTGTATCTGAGGGAGGGATGCATTTTACTTGATTAAGAGTTTTGTTTTGTTTTACTACAACACACTTTTTTGGTAAACCATTACTAAATACATAGATGTGAAGTAATAGTAACCCTACTTTAGGGGTATGGGTGCTAAAGTCAGAACTCTGGGTAAGTGTGCTACCATCAAGCTACCACCCTGCTTGCTTTTTAACCTGCCAAGGAAATGACTTACCCTTGTGCAATAAAGTTTCATATTTATTTAATGTGTCTTAAGAGTACCAGTCATAATTGAAAATTATGAAAATTTATATTTGCTTGCACTAAATTAAGATTTTGATACTTTCAGAGTAATTCTCCACAATATTTTCTGTTCTAGAATACATGATTTATGAGTCTTAATGTTTTTTTTTTTTTTAAATCCTAACAGGTAGCTTTAATTCAACTCAAATTAAAATTGCCTTAGGAACAATGTGGTATTGTATCAGTGTTTTACTAGAGAAACAGATATAACACAATATACAAATGTATAAGAAATCACAAGATTGGCTTACAGTGGCCACCCACAGGGTAGATGATGAAGCGTGCAGAGGGTGTCTGCACACTGGAGAAGAAGGATTCTGTCCAGGGTCTGGAGATAACTGTAGTGTTCTGTTCGAGTCCATATGAGAATGCAAACAGGTCTGTGGTGGAGGCTGAAGTCTGCACTGGAAGCCAAGAGATGACACCCAAGGTACAGATGAAGACTAGAGCTCCTCCAAGCAAAAGGGAATCTATCCTTCCTCATTTCCCCCTTTATACCAGCCAGGTGATGAGCTGCTCTTGCTTGGGTGGGTCTTCTACACCTTAGGGTGTGGAATCGCTGAGCCTCTCTTCCTCAGGTTGACATTGTCAGCCATCACAGGTATTTACACAGAAATGCTAAAAAAAAAAAAAATACTTAAAAGCATTTTATTTTTACCATTTGTATCAAGAATACTGTAGTTAAAAGAAAAATATGTTTCTGTAGATATAAGTCATTCTTGCCAATACACAATGATGCTTAAAGTAGTGATTCTCAAAAGGGAACAGGAGCCAAAGATGTGCAAGGTGATTGGTTCCAAGCACACGGGGGAAGCTTTGGACCATCGCTCACAGCAGGAAAGACCCTGCCAACTATTCTAAATCATTGAAGGATGCACAGGAGGTCCCCTTGGGCCTGACTGTGCCACACCCAGCAAAATTCATCCCAGGAGCTGGGGTGCGCGAGGTGATTCCAAGCCCACAAGGAAGCTTTGGAACATGGCTAAAAATCTGGAAATATAAGAAAATCACAAGACAAAAGAGTAAAATACAATCTCAAACCTCCAGCCCATCCCAAGCAAGCCTAGGAAACATGAACATAGAGGAAAATTTAGGCCATATACCTCAAATTCCTGAAATGATAACAACTGAAGTAAAGAAACAACTCTGGGAAGTTATAAAAGGACTCACATCAGAAATCATCTCCCAGGTAAAAGAAGAAATGATAAATGTAATGAAAGATGCCAAATACATCTAGAGAAGACATAGGTAAAAAATTAGAGGAACAGTGAAAAAAATGGAAACGCTGAATGAACGATATAAGACACAAACAGTGATGAAGCAGATTCAAAGAAATATACAGGAAATCAAAAACTCCATTGAAAGTTGGCAAAACCGCCTCAATGAAAGTGAAGATAGACTTTCAGACTTCAAAGACAAGATTGCAGCTAGTGAACAGGAAAGGAAAGATCTTTTAAAAATAACAAGGAATCAGGAAATAACAGTTTAACAGCTGTAAGATGACGCAAAAAAAACACGTAAGATTGATAGGGAAAAATGAAAAAGAAGGTGACAACACAAATTATATCAAGAGGCTATTTACAGAATAGCTGAAAATTTCCCAAACATGAGAATAGAAACTGACATACAGATCAGTGAAGCATAGAGAACTCCAAATAACCATCACCAAAATAAAACTACATCAACATATAATAATCACCATCCCAGAAATCCAACGTAAGAACAGAATATTAAAAGCTTTTAGAACAGAAAAAATCACTTGTAAAGGAAAGCCACGCAGAATCATGGCAGACTTCTCAACACAAGTCAAGAAGAGCATGGAGTGAAGTATTTCAGGTCCTAAAGGAAAACAACTTCCAACCCTGATGTATGCTGCAAAGATGTCCTTCAAAATGGATGGAAAAATAAGATAGTTCCATGACGAAGAACAGCTGAAGAACTTCATGACCATCAAACCAACCCTGTAAAGAATACTGAAAGACATTCTAGATAGACATAAGAAAAAAACCACTAAGCAAGGCAGACAATTAAACAGAGTGGAAAGGTAAAGAATCAACAGCAGGAAGATAGCATGTTAAAAATAATATATATTAATCATAACCATTAATGTAAATGGTCTCAATTCACCAATTAAAAGAAACAAATTGGCAGAATGGATCAAGAAACAACATTGAAGCATATGCTATAGGAAAGAAACCAATCTAACCCAAAAAGAAACTCATAGACTGAAAGTCAAAGGATGGAAAACAATACTTCATGCAACAGGAGCCCCCAAAAAAGCAGGCATAGGTATTCTGTTTGCAGACAATGTGAACTTCAACCAAGAATGATCCAAAAAGATAAACAAGATTACTATATACTAATTAAGGGAAAACTTCAAAAGGAAGAGATAACAATCTTAAATATATATGCATCAAATTTCAGAGCACCCAGCTATACAAAACAAATATTAACAGAAAAGAAAAATTAAATAAGCAATAACACAGTTATAACACACCATTGACACAAAGGGACACATCAAGCAGACAGAAAATCAGCAAAGAAATAACACAATTGAATCACACCTGTGAGCAAATGGACTTGGTAGATGTATACAGAATGTTCCACCCAACAACATCAGAATATACATCCTTCTCAGCAGCACAGGATACATTCTCTAAAATAAACCATATACTAGTCCACAGAACATGCTTAAGTAAATGCAAGAGAATGAAAATTATCCCATGCATGTTACCAGGTCAAATCACCATGAAACTTGAAATCAGTCACAAAAGAAACTGCAAAAACACCTCAAACACATGAAAATTGAATAGTATACTCCTGAGCAGTCAGTGGGTCACAGAGGAAATTAAAAAAATATCTACAAGCAAATGAAAATACAAGTATAACTTACTGGAATGTGTGGGATGCAGTGAAAGCAGTCCTCAGAGAAAAATTTATTGCAGTGAATTCCCACATCAGGAAAACAGAACAAACACAAATCAACAACCTGATGCTACACTTCAAACATCTAGAAAAAGAAGAGCAAGTCAACCCCAAAGCCAAAAGTGAGGAAATTATAAAGATCAGAGCAGAAATCAATGCAATAGAGGTTAAGAAAACAATACAAAGAAGCAATGAATCAAAGAGTTGGTTCCTTGAAAGAATAAATAAAATTGATAAGCCTCTAGACAACCTTATTTTAAAAAAGGAAGTAAAAAACTCAAATTCATGCAATCGGGAATGAAAAGCATGAAATCACTATAGACCCTGTGGAAATACAGATCATCAACACCAATTTTAAAAACCTTTACTCATAGGCTTGATAACACAGAAGAAATGGACAGATTCCTAGAAACATGAATTATCAAAGCTCAGTCAAGAAGATGTAAAACTGCTGAATAGCCCAATTTAATTAACAAATTTGAAAATGTAATTAAATCCTTACTAACAAAGGAAAGCCCAGACCCAGACACATTCACTGCAAAATTCTACAAGAAACTCAAAGAAGACTTAAAGCTGACACTCCCCAAACTCTTCAATGAAAGGGAAGCAGTTCTCCCTAACTCATTCCTGGAAGCAAATATTACTCTAGTATCAAAATGTGAGAAAGACCCAATCAAAAAGAGAACTACAGGGCAAACTCCCTAATGAACATAGATGCAAAAATTCTCACTAAAATATTGGAAAACAAAATGTAGCAAATCATCAAGAAGATTAAACATCATGACCAAGTGGGATTCATCCCAGGCATGCAGGGATGGTTAAACATATGTAAATCAATAAATTAACTCACCATATCAGTAGGGCCAAAAATAACCCCATGATCATGTCTGTAGATGCAGAAAAAGCTTTTGATAAGGTCCAACACTTATTCATGGTAAGAACCTTACAGAAAATTGGAATAGGTGGTCTTTACCTCAATACAGTAAAGGCCATCTATGGCAAACCAACAGCCAGCATCATATTAAATGTTCAAAAACTGAAAACCTTTACTCTAAAATCAAGCACAAGACAAGGATGTTCCTTATCACCACTCCTGTTCAATATAGTGCTGGAAATACTAGGCAGAGGAATTAGACAGGAGAGAGAAATAAAAGGAATAAGGATAGGAAAAAAAAAGTTAAATTATCATTTGCAGGGGACATGATACTCTACATAGAAGACCCCAAAACTTCATTGAAAGACTCCTAGGTATAATAAATAAATTCAGTAATGTAGATAGATACAGTCAATACTTAAAAATGAATAACATTCCTATCCACTAACAACAAAACTGATAGAGAAATAAGAGAAGTCACACCCTTCACAATAGCATCCCCCAAAATGAAATACTTCGGAATAAATCTAACAAAAGAAGTAAAATAGCTATTCAGAGAAAATTGTAATGCCTTGAAAAAGAAATTGAAGAGGACCTGAGAAAATGGAAAGACATCCCTTGTTCATGGATAGGAAGAACAAATATTGTGAAAATGGCCAATCTCCAAAATTGTTAGACAGATTTAATGCACTCTCAATCAAAATAACACTAGCATACCTCAAAGATCTAAAGAAATCACTCCTAAAATTCATCTGGAACCAGAACTGACCTAGAATAACAAAGGCAATTCTAAACAACAAAGGCAAGAGTCATCACATTCCCTGACTTGAAGTTATACTACAAAGCTACTGTAATAAAATCAGCATGGTAATGGAAAAAAAACAGACCTGAAGATCAATGGAATGGATTAGAAGTTACAACTACAAACACACACACTCAACTTATCTTAGATAAAGGGGCCAAGCACATTGACAGGAAGAAAGATAATCTGTTTAATAAATGGTGCTGGAAGAACTGGCTCTCCATATGCCAAAAACTAAAATTCAACCCATGCCTATCACCATGTACTAAACTAAAGTCTAAATGGAACAAAGATCTAAATTAAAACAGAAACACTAAGTCTGTTGGAAGACAAAGTAAGTAGAAATCTTGAAGAGATAGGGTTAGGTAGAGCATTCATGAACAAGAATCAAACCACCTGGGAAATAACTTCACAAAATCAATAACTGGAATCATGTCTTATTAAAGAGTTTCTGCATGTTGAATGAAATCTCCAGAAAAGTGAAAAGAAAATGCACAAACTGGGAAAAAATCTTAGTGAACTGTCCCTCAGAGAAAGCACTTCTGTCCAAAACATATAAAGAATTTTGAAAAATCAGACCTGAAATTCAAAGACCCAATCCAAAAATGAGGTGAATACACAGTTCTCAGATGAAGAAATACAAATGGCAAATAAATACATGAAAAAATGTTCAGCATCATTAGTCATTAAGAAAATGCAAATTAAAACATCACTGTGATTCCATCTCACTCCATAAAAATGGCCAGGATAAAGAAAACTACAAACAACAAATGCTGGAAAGATTGTGGGGAAAAAGGAACTCTACTGCACTGTTGTTGGGAGTGCAGACTGGTGCAACCACTGTGGAGATCAGTCCGGAGGTTTCTCAAAAAGCTGGGATTTGAAGTCCCATTTGACCCAGGTATTCCATTTTTAGACATATTCCCAGAAGAACTGAAAACATCATACCACAGTGATATATGTGCACCCATGTTTATAGCAGCACAATTTGTAATGGCCAGATCTTGGAAACAGCCT